CGCCAAGACCAATCGAATCACAAACTGCTAGATATTGTCAGGAAGATGCAGAAATTATGGATTGAGGAATGTCGCGCGGCCACCACAGGGTTAGTCGGGGAAGGTCACATGAACACCAATCGAAAATGACTTGACCAATCTAATTGCCGAAAGAAAGACACGACGCTCGCGTCAACAGGTTGGCCGTTTGATAGTAGTGATGAGTATGAGAGGAGAAAGACAATATGTCCCCTATGGAGCAGTCGGTCTGTATTTTACCGGCAACTGCTAGACATCATCAGGAAGAGGGGTCGTCGCGCGTCGACCCGTAAGCTTTGGGCATGAACACCTATTCACAATGACTCATGCAGAACGCATCTGATTGTCGTTGATGGCATAGGCATATATACAAATAATAAAGAAGTAGCACCCGAGTCAGGAGATCGTCCGTCCGATAATTAGTGAGTGATAAATGTAAGAGAAGTAAGACCCAACCTTCGAGGAACAGTCACTCGACATCTAGCTGGTGACTGCTAGACATCAACAGGAAGATGCTGGAATCCTAGGTCCAGGGCCGTCGAGCGTCGAGCACCAGGGTTAGCTTTGCACGTGACCACCTGCCGTAAATAGGTTCAACATTTGCAAGTAGTGATAAGTATAAGAGGAGACGTTCTGAATTTCGCCGGCAACTGCTGGACATCATCAGGAGGAGGGGTCGTCGCGCGTCGACCGGTTAGCTTTGGACATGAACGCCCTTGACGATGTGTGGAAGCATAGGGATAAGTAGAGCTAATCAATACATGACGATTGAGTAAACAGGTCGCCCGTTTGATGATGAGTGGTACATATTTAAGAAGAAAGACACACTTTCGAAGAAAAGTCGCTCTGAATCTAGCCATAACTGTTAGACAGGACTCGGAGGGGCTGGAATTCTAGGTTGAGAGTCGTCGCGCGTCGACCACCAGGGTTAGCTTCGGACATGAACACCTATTGACGATGTCGTTGACAGTAAGCATAAAAAAGAAAGACATGACGCTTAAGTAAACAGGTCGTCCGTTTCATAATTAGTGAGAAGTATAGACACGACCTTGGAGAAGCAGTCGCCCTGAGTCTAGCCGGTAGGTTTCCTCCATCACGTTCAGGTCGAGAGAGAATGGCTTTACTGAAGGTCGTCGTCCAACAAAGTCAGAATGATAAGAGAACATGTCTCTGGTGGTAGAGTTCACAGCAACAATTTTTGGGATTGGAATGAAAGCCTAAAGGACGGACAAGCAAAGACTCAGGGTCGTCTGTGAAGGGTCAATTGATACATGGTCAGCTCCCGTTGATGCAGTTGGAAGGACATTGGAAACTACGACTGACTTGGATCATAACGATTGGCCCTCCCAGAAACTGTCTGTCCCGACTCGAATGTGTTTGAATTGGTCGATGGGTTGCTGCAGCTCGGAGGGGAAGAAGAAAGCGGTCAGTTTGTGGTTTTAGCTGGAATCGGCTGGTGGAACAAGTATGTAATGTGAAGAAGGGTCATAAATACATATTTATGTATTACATAGTATCCAAAGTGGCAAAGCCGCATGGCGCTAAGCCGCATTAGGCGCTTATTAGTATGTAGAAGATACTGTACTTTTTTTTTACTGGAAATAAATACATAATACTTTGCAGATAAAAATGTATCAGCTGCATCCGGTTTGGCTGAGATCATCCAGGGTCTTGGCTGAGGTTACATACATACACCGGACCCTAGCCATTCAAAAGGCCTATGTACATACATACATACCCATGTCTAAAAAAAACAATCGAGATTCGACACACTACATACTCACATTCCTTGTCCTCGGCCAGCGCTCCTTCCTTCTCAGTCCAATTCACTCCACCAAACTAACCCATACTGAAGATCCCAACTAGGTGGGTTTCTGTCGACGCGCGACGACCACCTCCTCAGCTTGCACACATCATTTCGACTCGTCCGCCCATTAACTTTGCCGCCATCGTCTTGCGACCAACATCTGAAAGTGAAATCCAACCCAGTGAGTCAAACAATTTATCACCCCCCCTCCATATTCCTCCGCCGCTCCTCACCTCTTCCCCTTTGCTAATAACCTCACCATCCCTGCTCCACCACGGCCAGCTGTCCACCGATTCACTCCGAAGACTACCTGGGCTTAAGTCGTTGACTCCAACCGCCCGGCAGCCCAGTGTCCTCCGGTAAGTCAAACGTTTTATCAAGTCGTCGCGCGACCACCCCACGCCTCAGATTTGCTGACTACCTCACCATCCCTGCCCCATCATGTTCAGCTCTCCACCCCCTTCTATCCAAATCACATCACGTAACCAAGTACGACTGAATCTCTCAATCACCTCAGCTTTTTTCGTCGCGCGAAGATCGCCTCCTCAGCTCGCGAAGATCGTCTCCTGATCAGCTACACATCATTCGACCTCCAACTGCCCGGCAGCCCAGTGTCCTCCGGTATGTCAAACTTTCTTAAGCCGTGATTCTTCCTCAGGTCGCTCTGCGACGGCGACCCCACCCCTCAACGTTGCTAA